CCTTCTCAGAAGGCGGCGGGACTTCTCAGAAGCCCTTGCGCCTTCGAACAGTTTGCTGTGCCTTCGGGGAACGCTTAAACAGCTTCTCAGAAGGCCGGAGACTTCCGAGGCTTCTGAGAAGGCCCGCCCCTTCCCGACTTCCCTCAAGTCGGGCATGTCCCTCTACAGGAGGAACGGTCAAACACAGCCCAAACATAGTCAGGAGACGATCTCCCGATTATTTTTCTTGACAATGTTTGATCTTTGTTTGACCATGTTTTATTCTTTCTCCAACATCTGCCTGTGGGAGGATATGCCCGACCTACAGTGAGCGGCTTGAGTACGGAACACTTGCTTCTCACAAGGGGCTCGGTCGTTCCTTCGGTTTGCATGCGTTGTTCACCGTTTTCTTTTTGCGTCGTTCATTACTTGCCGTTCCTGATGCGTCATTCCTTGGAAAGAGAAGGGCTTCGTTCCTTCTTGAATTGCTTCGCTCATTCCGCCGGCCCGTGGGGGCCTCTTTGGGGCCTCTTGGGGCCTCCAAGAGGCCTCTTGGGGGCCTCTTAGAGCCTCTCGGGGGCCTCTTGGGGGCGTCATGGGGGCCTCCTGAGGGCTCCTGGGGGCCTCTTATGAGCCTCTTGGGGCTTCCTGGAGGCCTCTCGGGACCGAGGGAAAGAACAGGGCTTCGCGGGCTTCGCTCCTTCTTTCTCGTTCCTTCTAGGTCAGGCCTCTGGCTGCCGCGCTTCCTCCCGGGGCTCGCAGCGCATCCGCGGGCTCTCCGCTCGGACCCTCCTCCCCGGGGAGGCTCGAGGCGGCGCGGGGCCCGCCGTCGAGGCACCGGCGGCCCTGTCGCCACGGCGGGAGCCGCCTCGGGCAACTGCTCGTGGTGGACGCCCGGTGATACAGGTGACGAACGGACCACACGCACCCATACCCATGAGGGGGGTCGTTGGGAGGAGGACTGGCGATGGGTATGGGTGCGGGGACCCCTATCCGACAACGCGCACCCATAGCCCTCTCCGATCCCCCTGTGGGTATGGGTGTGTGTTGTTGATTCGTCAGTGGGGGCTCGGCCACAAGAACCCTCCGCAAGAAACCCAACCCTGAAATACGCGAGTTGTTCAGTGAAAGTCCACACGTGTCGATCGAGAGTCGTCAAGATCTGATTGGGAGCCCATCAGAATCCAAGAAACCCAGGGACCCCGGCAAAATCCAACGAGGAGGGGGCGGAAGACGACGCCGAGGAGGCGGAGGAGGTGAAGAAAAAGAGCGAGGAGGGGGAGCAGCAGGAGGGGGGTGGCGATGATGTGGAAGTGCATGGGGATGTGGAGGCCGAGGTTGAAGGGAGGGGGGGGCTGAACAACGGCTCATGATGGACGCCTGGTGATAGTTTTCTTATTCACTGTTTTGCCGATCGGCGCGGGCCCTCGCACCCCCCCCTCTCCCCACCCTCTCCTGGAGCAGCTCCTGGCTGTTTTTTTGGCGCCTGCTTCGAGCAGATGGAGTCCCTCCCCCCACAGGACGCGCTGCTGCAAGCAGTCGCGTTCAACAGAGGTCCCGAGCCAGGCCGCCCCCCACTTGAGCCCAGTGTCGAAACGCCGAATAGGATCGGGGGTTGGCAGAACCCCCACCCTGACACGTCCACTCGTGAATTGTCCGTCTTCGGTTCTCGCGAGGGCGCCGCGGCCGTCATTTTCCAGGCTCGCGTCCGCCAGGTTTTTGGCCCGAGGTCGTTTTCACCAAACCACGTTTTGCTAAAGGGGGTTCTGTCCATCCCCGATGGGGAAGCGCTCACCTGGATGGGTCGGGGGACCGACTTCGAGCGGAGCCGGACCGGGCGGAAGGGCCGCAGTTGTCTCCGCGGGGCCTCGGGGCCGGCCCGGGCTTCCTGGCGCCCTGGGTGCCGCAGAGGGGGTGCGGACTGGGGGCGCGTGTGGGGATGTCATGGCTGGGGCCACGAGCTCGTCCAGATTTCATGCTAATCCGCTTCTTCTTGATGTTCTTGTTTTTTTTCATATTATTGTTCTCGTCTTGTTGCTCAAGAGGCTCACGCCATTCCTCCGACCCCCGGACGAGGAGATGTGCGGGTTCTGATTTGCCGTCTTCCGTTGTGCTGCTTGCGCGTCGATGCTGTCAATTCTTCCACTCTTCCTCTGCGTCTGTCTGTTGCGTGGCTTCCTGGGGGCGTCTTTGATGAGGCTCAGGGAGGCGGCCTTTCGGGGCGCAAGCAACGTCCAATAACATCGCTCCTCCTCCTCCTCCTCCTCCTCCTCCTCCTCCTCCTCCTCCTCCTCCTCCTCCCTCCTACGTTGAGACTAGGTTTGCCTGCCTGTCGCTGGCCCACTTTCGTCGCAGCTGTTTTACTATTTGGTTCCCCGCCTATGGGCGTCCCAGAACTTGGCTTCCCTGGGAGAAGGGATGGAGAGCGGGCGAGGGCGCAGATGGCGGACGCATGAACAGGCCGAGGAGAATGATGGTGGAGGGGATGGTGATGGACAGGACGGAGGTCGATGCGGAGTCTGGGGTAGGGGGAGGGGGGGAGGAGGGGGCGATGAGAAAGGATGGTAGTGGAGAGGGATGGTGATGGTGATGGTGATGGTGGTAATGATGATGAGTCTGATGTTTCTGATGATTCTAATGATGATGCTGATGATGGTGATGATGCTGGTGGTGGTGATGATGATGACGCGTGGCAGATGATGATTGGTGATGACGGTGATGCTGCTGATGATGATGATGATGTTGATGAGGATGATGATGCTGATGCTGTTGACGAACAATGTTAATATTGTGGCGGGACATCACTAGGATACTGGGGATGATGCTGCTGCTGCTGCTGCTGCTGCTGATGATGATGATGATGATGATGATGATGATGATGATGATGGCGATGATTATTGCTTGACGCTTCGCGTGAAACGATTGCCAAGTGCGTCGATTAATCAGGGAAGCCTGAAAGCATGCGGTCGCTCAGCCGTGTTGGAAGCGTCAAGACTGGGTGGGCAGTACCCTGGGTCAGACAACAAGGGCCCTGTGGTAAGCGTCTCTGGCGCAGGTTGCTGTATCTACGATCCGACGCCAATGACGCGCAGATTAGAGTCGCATCTCGATGGGCATCCTTGATCTTAGCCCTTGCACAGAGTTGTATCTTAAACTCGCGTGCGTTACGAGATTGCTCAGGTGCTGGTGTTGTTCGGCATGCCTCTGGTGCGTCTGTTGCGCGCGGCATGCGCGCGCCATCTGAACTGGGACTCGACATTCATTAGAGGAGAAAAAGAACCCTGGGTCAGAAAACAAGGACCACCAATAGCTTCGCGCAGTGAAGTTTAACACAGAAGTCAGTGCAAGATGCGCCATGGTGTTCCTTGTGGTAAGCGTCTCTGGCGCAGGTTGCTGTATCTACGATCCGACGCCAATGTTGCGCAGATATGAGTCGCATCTCCATGGGAATCCTTGATTTTAGCCCTTGCACTGATTTGTATCTTAAACTCGCGTGCGTTTCGAACCTTTTCACGCTGCTGCTGCTGCTGCTGGTGCTGACGCTGCTGCTGACGCTGCTGCTGCTGACGCTGCTGCTGCTGGTGTTGCTGCTGTTGCTGCTGTTGCTGCTGCTGCTGCTGGTGCTGCTGATGCTGCTGCTTGTGGTGCTCCTGCTGGTGGTGGTGCTGCTGCTGGGACCATCTTGAAGGTAGGAGGAGAAAGAGGAGGATGATGATGATGCGGAGGAGGAGGAGCAGGAGGAGGAGGAGGAGGAGGAAGAGGAGGAGGAGAGGAGGAGGGGAGGAGGGGGGAGGAGGAGGAGGAGGAGGAGGAGGAGGAAGGAGGAGGAGGAGGAGGCGGAGGAGGAGGAGGAGGAGGATGAGGAAGGAGAGGAGGAGGAGGAGAATTCAGGAGAGGAGGAGATGGACCAGGTTATCAGCGTAAAACAGAAAACGAGGAGGAGGGGGATGTCATTTTTGGCTTTCTAGGGCACTCTTGGAGCCGTCTTGGAACATCTTGGACGCTGCTATGGGGCACGCCCAGGGAGGGGGCGCGGTAAACCTCCCGAGCAGGGGGAGGTTGGATATTGCAGGGTCTTTGCAGGGTCATGCAGGGTGCTTGCAGGGTCATTGTTGGGTCTTTGCAGGGTTTTTGGAGCCCCCCTTGGGGCTCTTTTTCGGGGCCGTGGCGGCATCTTGGGGCCGTCTTGGACCTCTTCGCCTAAACAGGATGGGGGTGGTAAATTTACGCCCCCCCCCCCCCCCTTGATGCCCGACAGGGGCGTCTTGGGGCCCTCTTGGACCGCTCTTGGGGCGCTCTTGGGCGCTCTTTGGGTCGTCCTGGGGCCCGCTCGGGTCTCTCTTGGGGCTATGTTGGGCCAGCTTGGTGCCATCTTGACGCCTCAAGAGCCCATCGGAAGCGAAAACGCGAGAAGGCAACCAAGCGTTGATTTCCCTAGGTTTTGAACCCATGTTGGCCTCTTGGGGGAATCCTTGGAGGGCTCGGAGGGCACTTGAATCCGTCTTGGGTAACACCCTCTTGAAGCTATCTAGGGCTGTCTTGGACGCTCTAACCCCTCGCGAGGGAGCCCGTCCAGACCCAGGGAGAGGGGGGGGGGGTAAACCTCCCGAGCAGGGAAGGCAGGATGTTAGAAAACGGAAACGCTCTAGACCACCTGCGCCCAGATGGCTGGTGGGATTATACGGATCCCGAGGATGCTGAGGAGGGAACGATGAGGATTGAGCATGCTGATGTTGATCAGGATGTTGAGGATGATGGTGATGATGATGATGATGCTGCTGTCGATGATGATGATGATGCTGCTGATGATGATGATGATGATGAGGATGATGATGCTGATGATGATGGTGATGCTGATGGTGGTGATGATGTTGTCGATGATGATGGTGTAATGATGATGGTGATGATGATGATGATGATGATGATGATGCTGCTGCTGATGCTGCTGATGATGACGATGAGGGTGATGAGGATGCTGCTGCTGATCATGAACATGATGTCGATGCTGCTGCTGCTGATGA